GTGTTTTTTTTTTTTTTTTTTTTTTTTTTTGGTTTTTGTAAAGATGGAAACATAGCATTGCCAGGTGCTAGCCGAATATATATAGATCTCGATCGTCGTTCAGCTATTTCTCTCGGTTTGGTTTTCTCTTCGGTGTCGCGAGAGTTCGCAAACCCTTCTTTTATTTTTTTATTTTTTTGGGCTCCGTCTCCGAAATACGAAATTCTTTAGCGAGCTTTCTTTCTTTCTTCCTGTCTCTCTCACTCTCCCCCACTCTCTCCCCTCCCTCCCTTTTTTTTTTTTTTTTTTTTTTTCATTAGTCTTTCGTTTTGCAACGCAGCCTGGCAACCCACGATCAACGTGTAGCTTACATATATGTATATATATGGCATGTAAATAACATATATATACATATATCTCCTCGATCATAGAGAAAGTACTTAAGAATCGTTCTTACTTCGACCACTGTCTCTTCTGGATCGTCTCGGAATTATTCGTTCTAATCTCATTCTGGACACGGTGCTCGCTTATATTCCGTCCGGTGGATATTCCAAATATCGTTTCGCCCTGAATCCTCGTGAATTTCAAATATGTATATCCGATAAACACGATCGTGTCCGACTTCCGACACCGACATGGAAGATCGATCGAACGGCCATCGACGATCCATCATCCCCGCCTGCTCTCTCTCTCTCTCCTTCTTGCGTTCTTCCGTTCAGGAAACGATGTTCAATCGATATTTAGTCTCCTCGATAGTCGCTACGAGACAATGCATTTTCACCTACGATTTACCGTTTAACGATCTGCAATCGTTTTATAATACGACGATTTTACGTTATTTCACGATTCGCGCGTGGTTACACCCGTTTAATTTTCCCGCTCGCCACTCACACACAGCACTCGTAATAAAAAAGAAAAACTATCGAGCCATCGGTCGATGATCCATTATATACAGGGTGTAAGAAAAATGTTGGAGAACCCGGAAATGGGAGACTCGTGAGGTGATTTGAAACAAGTTTTTCTTTAGCAAAAATGTTCTCTAAGGCTTCGTTGACGAGATACTAACGAAAAAACGCCGACCAATCAGAGCGCGAGTTCCCGCGGTAACGTTGGCTACGCGCTGTGATTGGTAGCCAACGCAAAATTTTTCCCAAGGAAAAATTTCTTTCAAATCACCTCACGAGTCTCCCATTCCCGGATCCTCCAACATTCTTGTTACACCCTGTATATGGTTTTACAGAATTTTCGGGTTTCGATCTGCGCAGACACAAAATTGAAGGAGGAAGGGGGAGGGGGGCTCGTATCCCCCGGAAACGCGTCAACGTCAGCCATCTTTCGGTACGTTCGCGTGTAAACGACGCTCGAAACGAATATTCATGCTCCTGTCTTCGACGGTATTGTCATCGATCGACGTAAAATGATATTCTACTTACCTACCTGCGAGAATGAATTTCGCGATTGAAACGTATTTCGGATCGGGTCACGTTTTGTCGCGCTTTATCACCGGACCATTTCAAGTTTTTTTTTCTTGTTTCTTTTTAGGGGGAGGGGGTTTCTTTATGTATAATTGTGGTGTACGGATCAAGCCTCGGTTTCTCACGCCGTATCGATTCGATAAGGTTGCCCCCGCGAGCAAAACGATACGAATTCCCGTTTGGATAAGGAAAAACAAAAAAATTAGCGTGGCCGGGTTCTAGAGGTGTATCGATTCGACCTGAATATCGGGATTCCCACGCACCCATATTATATCGATCTGTCAAGGTTTACAAAGGGGGGGGGGGCACAACGAGAAGAAAGGATCAGTATATATATATACACAAGTGAGATATTAAGAGGCGTGGAAGAAAGACCGTTTACATGCTACTATCTGACAGCACCATCACCGTTTGCTACTTTCAACAGATTAGTTGTCTTGCAAGGCTGTAAGAGTATCGTTACGATAAGTCACGTGTGGTTCACAAGTTAATCTTTAAGTATCGTTCAACGGGAATCGCCGTTTCCAAAATATGTTTTTTTTTTTGTTTCTTTGGTTTTTCGTCTACGTCGACAACAGACGCCCAATGGCCGACAGAAAGACTCAGAAGGCAACGGAATTCCTGTTGCGATTCTTTTAAGATTAACTTTCCCATGCAAGGTGGTCGAATCGGAACACGTGTGACATTCGACGAACACACACGCGCGACGATCGAATTTGCCCTCGTACACAGTTCTATGATACGAAGTAATCAAACCTCATACCAGCGTCGAAAGGTATTTTTTTTTGTTCTTTTTTTTTTTTTAGTGTATACAGAAAAAGAATATAGTATGCTTACAGTTAGTGCGCAATTAGGGAATAATAATGGTTCCGAGTTGTTAAAGGAATGTAGATGATTGTCGGCACACATACAGCACTTGGCAATGCTCACTAATGTCTACGGTTCAACCTACACCAGAGTGCGCCTAATACACCATACGTTTATCCAAAAACCATGCACTCCGTAATGCTATAGTACAGTGAGAAACGATTAATAGAGGTAAACTTTCGACAAACAGCAGGAAATGCATTTCTCCAAAAAAAAATGTTCTTCTTTTTTTTCTTTCGTTTCACAGACATTTGCGTCAATGCTTTTTGCCGCACGATTGTTTCGTCAACGCGATTTTAATCTTTCCATGTAAGAACAAAAGACACAACGACAAAAAAAAAAACAGAAAAAAAAAGGACAAAAACAAACAAAAAGAAAAAGTATCTAAATGAAACTGATGAATTGCAGCTTGGACCTAACGTGTCCAATAGAACCTAATGTCTTTGCAAAATTTTTCTCGTTTCTTCTATTCTCTACCGATCGAGTTCACGAACAACCGATGATATGTTTCTATGCACGTTTAGAGGCGCTGTTTTCAATGCTCGTAACTTTGTCAAAGTCTTGGAAAAATTTTTCACGCGTATCAATGGTAGAAAGCTTGTTCTATACGCTACTCAATCCTTGTAAGATTTGCATTATAGATAGATTCACGCAACTATCCCCTCAAATCGATTAAAGAAATTAATTCCCTCCTACTCCGTACAATTCATCGTCAAATTCAACTAATCCAAGTTATATATATATTGTATATATGTGAGAACTGTTTTGTATCCACGTAAAGGATACTGTATTTCCGATACAATAACGTGTTTTGCATCTCGATTCGAAAACACGCTTTTACGAAAGTAAACAAAAGATTGTTTTTTTTTTTTTAACTTTTAGACAAAACTACGTCCCGAAAGATTGTTTAATCGATAAACATTTGCGCGCGTGATACGTGGGCACAAAACGTGTAAACTGGTTGACAATGCCATTTCTTTTAGTCCGAAGGATCGAGATTCCAAAGAAAAAGTGACGTTCCTCTCGATAATATTACTGGTCGATTATGCGAGAAAAAGCATTACCGAGAAATCGTTATACCATTTATTAATCGAATTTTTGTAGATTTTAAAAGATATGGCAAAGCATCGCGTTTCTTTTCTACATACATAGAAAATACGATAATCAAGAAACACTTACCCTGCACTGCTTCTTGCGTTAACCTTTCCCCGGATGTACTGGGTTTCGATAGTAGGTGTCCTAATTGAACACACAGAATTGTAATATTATAGTATATGCATTACAGCATTAAAATATTATTCGACCGTCATGGATCAGTGGATCCACTACTATGAATCTTACCGACATCCGCAGATTGATGTTTAAGATCCAAAGTGTCCGAAGTAGACTGACTACTTGAATAAAACGTCTGACTGATGTCTGGCTTCTGGTCGTGGTCGGGTGTATTGGACGATGTATCTTCTATACCGATCTTATTTAACGAACCGTCTCCGAGACTCTGATCCTCGTAACTACAGCTACTTCCGTCTTGTACTAAATATTCAGGCATTTCCAGTTTCAAATTCGGCATAAGGGGGATTATTTCAACAGGATCCGAGCCGGTCGTTGTCTGACTTTCCGACGTTTTACTTTCAGAGTCTTTAGCGGATACAGCATTACTCGCAGCCTTCTCCGCGTTTGCGTTCGCGTTTTCTCGACATTTTCGTCTTTTGCTGGGCGGGGCGTCTGGTTGCAGATCAACTGCATGGTAAGGCATAGGAGACAATGGTGACTTCATTCTTTTATTATCCGTTGTTTTGCTAGACGTATTTTGAAGTTGAATTTCTGGTTCGTTAGGAATGTCCATGTCATCCTAAAGCATTATTCCAAATGTACTCCAAAATCAATTAATCCCAGTTTCGACTTGAACACAATTTAAACAAATGCTCACCTCCACTAAGCTGTCGTTATCCTTCCCACTACCATCTGTAAGACCTTGAACCGCTAACAATTCAGCTGTTGTTAGAAAACTGGCTAATTGTTCCTGAACTACGTTTACCTCTCCTTGGTACATAAAATCAACTAATGCTGCCAAATCATCAAATTTTACATTACGGAAAATTATAACTGGATGCTGACATGGATTTTCCTGTAATGAGGCGAACTGTATATAAAACTTATGTCCAATGTATGAAAGAACAGGTGAATAGTAAATTTATTATTCGGCTTTCTCACCTTAAATAAATCTCTGAAATTTACATCGACCAGATCTTCTTCTGTCCTTAATGTGTCAAACGCACAGGTAATGTGCTTTAAATAGTTATTCCACCTAAGAGAAAATTGTTGACTCGAACCCATGCTGCTTTTCTAGAATGATATACATTTACCATTTAAATGTTACGAAATTTCCGACTTAAATCTTCAAAGATATTCGAATCAACGAACGACGAGGAATACAACGTAACGAAACGCAATGTGATACTATATTCATCTGTTCATGCATTTAGTATTTATAAACGATATTTTACCGTTTCTTCCAATTATCACGCTCCCAAAATAATAAAGTTTGTGGGGTCGAGAAATTTCTGACTCTTTAACACGTAGCACAGTTAATATCGTAGATAACCGTCATACGATCTGGCCGTCGGAGCGATTCAATTATTACGGGAACGTGGAAGTGGTTCTAGCGCGTTACTCTTGATACGTTTGACGAAAAATAAAAACTGTAAACAGTAAAGCGGAGTAGAATTTCATGGCACTGTGAAAGGGTTTCACGGGTTCCGCATGTAGATGAAAACTGGCGTCGATCTACCAAACGATTTCAATGTTATGTAATTGCATCGTGCTAAACGGTTTCCACACGCGTTGAACGACTTTTCACGGAATTCTGTGTCACTTTAGAGGCCACACTTCTCGATTAAATGACAGCTGGTAGCCATTTTCCTTTAGGAAAACGCGTAAGATGCGCGAAAAGAACTCCACTTCCTATAGAAACCACGCGCGATGCGTGGGACGTCGCGATACATGTGTGGAACACCGTAGAGACGTTGTCATTGGTGAACTCACATTTGTAACGATACCTATGAAGATGACCGATTCAAATTTTTATTCGCTTGATTGACATAACAATTCAAACATTTTTCAACGTATCCTACGTTGTATTTTAACAATGATCGGACAAGAACATTTTTTCCCGGTATCGTGTAATGGTTGTATATGAACAACCATATACTGATTTAATAAAGATTACAATTTAACAATTCATATAGGAATGGACAGAATATAAAATACTAACAATCCACAAGTTATTCTCACAGATTATGTGAGTTTAATACGTTTAGTTGAATAATAGATGCATGAAAATATAGGCTTATACCATTTTTATTGACTGGTACCGACAACCAGTGATGACAAGTGTTGTAGACCTATCGGAGAAGATGAAGCATCGCCGATGAAACGGTCGAGAGTATCGTATCTTATATATTGTTAGTTTATGCTATAAAAAGCTGTCAGAATCTGTCAAAAATTATTAAAACATGAATTGTGTCCTGGTTATTTAAAAAAAAGTTGTCAACACTTATAATATTTTATAACTGCTCCATACTAAATATTGATAATACCATTATGTCTGGCATAAAGGTAACAAGATGATAAAGAATAATGTTGTTCTGTTTTGACTAAAGAGATAAGTGAACAATATTTTAAATAAAAAATTGATTTTTATAAACATTAGGCTGATGCGAATAAAGATGATAATCTAAGGAGGCAAGGTTCATTTAGGAAACTGTTACCTTTAAACACAAATGGAGATTCTCAATTAAGTATGTCTGTAAAAATGATCGACAGGCCAACCATTTCACAAACCAATAAAGAATACTCGATTTACTTGCAAGAATACAATATTTTATCGGAATAGTAAGTTCTGAAACAACTATGTAATTACAAAATTATATTCATATAATGAGGAGGAGTTGCTGTATTTTTTATTTGTTTATAGTAAGATGTTGTGTTTTCAAGATTTAAAAGGAATTTATGTAATACCATCAGCACAGAATTCTTTGTGTAAGTAATAGAAATAAGTAGGAATTAATTGTTTTTCTGAATGGACTTCGTGCTTGTAAAAGGTTATACATTTAAATTATTAAAGCCAAATATAAATTGGTTCTTAGGTCTTGCTTATCCTGACTTCATCTTATGTAATGGTTTCCATGTAAATATGTGCACGATTTATTGTTTGTTACACTTTCTTATAAACATCAAAGCATCAAGCGTCTGTTGTATTCAGTAATTTATTTATCTTGTACTAGTGTGGTTTGGTGTACAATTCGTTAGGCAAGGAATCTATCAAGGAGGAGTCTTCAGATTTATTATTGCATTACCACAAAATTTTCCAGATGGAGGATGCCCTGTAAGAGTCTTAACTCTTAGTATACAAGAATTTGATCTTACACATCATTGCTAATGCATTTTAATCAAATTTTAGAAAGTTACGTTTCAAACACCCTTGTTTCACCCTTTAATTGATCCCCAGTCCGGAGAGCTGAGCACTTCATGGGGATTTCCTGAATGGAGGAAGAGCAATAGAATCTGGCAATTAGTACAGTTCATAACGAAAATACTCACTAAAGTAGATATTAAAATGAATCCTGTGAACCAGGAAGCATCTATGTTGTAAGTATATGAATTATATATTGCATTTTTAAAGCTAAACAAAGCTCATTTATACAGTAAATATCATTACTGGTTCTATGTAATAGATTAGAAAATAACTTTGAAGAATTTCGTGACCGTGTGAAGAAATGTGTGAGGGAAAGCTTAGATAAAGTATATAATCCACCTATGATGGACGATCCTCATTATATAGTTTTTAGTCTATATAACAGTGAGCTTCATGACTCTGTTAAACGAGAAATTTATGAACCCAAGGTAAGAAAACTATTGCATTTGATTTGTGATAAGTTATTAACGAATTTATGATTTAGGAGGAAGAAGAGAACAAAGCACTGGGTTTATCCTGGGTACAGCCAGGTTCTTTACAACCATTTTCAAAACCTGAAGCAAGATAATGAACAATTACTTAATATATAAATAGTACTGAAGAAACTATGTACGTCCACATAACATAGAAAGCTATTCGTACATTACACAGATACAGGGGACACATTATAATGTATTTTTGTATTAGCAGAAAATGATAAATTTTAAATATATTCTAATTATTACACAACATTCAATTTATTATCACAACCAATCATTGTTCCAGCACAATATTGATTAAAGAAGGTTCGACGAACTATCACAGAGCATTTATAAAAAGTTTTAATCACAATTAACGCGACTCTTTTGTATTTTTCAATAGGCTTGATATTCAATAATAACACAGGTTACAGTGACAGCAGGGACAGCGAATGACAGGTTTGAGTTAGGTGTACGTATGTAAATATATATTTTGTACGACAAGAATGTCAATATATTGCCATCTACCAACAGAAGTATGTATTAATTATCCAGGAGCTTAGGCGGTTTGTCGTGGATGGCCGCACGAACGAAATTGAAGATACTAATTAAAAACTCTACAATTGACACTTATTTATGCACTATATCGATCCAGGGGTATTTAACAAACAATCTGACTACTTTGGGAAAAATAAATAATTGTAATTCTTCGTTAAATATCATCAAATAGCACAGCGTAAGAGAGAGTTCCCATTTTGGGTGGTCGTGAGTTGTCAGAGTGAGTTGGACCACTATTGCAAATCGTAAAATCAGCAATATGGTTAAGGATCATGGGAATGATATTTGAATTGATTCTTGTTTCAAATGTAATTACCAACTTTTGTATGTAAACGCTGTAGGATTGTACGAGTCGAGTATTTCCTGTTCGTAAGTGGACATGTAAAACTTTTACACAAGTGGGCGCCCGAATAACGAAGAATAATACGAGATTTTGTTAGTGCAATCCTTAGTGCAACGTGCTTATGGCTTTAAAAATGTGACTGTAATTATATTTTGACATAAAATGTATATTAAAAATTATTTGTGAGTTAGTAAGGAATATGTTTGTTTAAAAATTAGCTTATATTTCGTTAAAGGAGCTCACGAAAAATGCCCATAAATTTATAAGCAGCACTTCACAATTTTCCAGGAAATGGCGTCTGTAAGAGTAATTAAATATATTTCATATAAAAGGCTAGTAACTATCTCTGGTCTAACAAATGCACGTATTCTTTCTTATGATTTGACACCGAACATTCAGCAAAGCATATTGTTCAGCACAAAAAGATCAATTGCAAGGGCTAATGTTGTTGAAGAAGAAAACAAAGTACAAGTTGGATTTGCAGGAGTAGGTAAATTTCATATGTGTGATACTGTACAAATTGGTAAAAAATCTATATCTCCTTAAATGTTATTTGCATTTCAGTTAAAGAGAGCACAAAATCTATTGGATATTTAAGTATAATACTCAGTGGCATAGGACTCACTGGTTTCATGTTGTATGTCATTTTCTATGAACTGTTTTCTAGTAAAAGTCCAAATGGTATTTATGGTAAAGCTTTAGAAGACTGTAAAAAGGATTCTAGAGTAATAAATGCCCTAGGAGAACCTATAAAAGCTTATGGAGAAGAGAGCCGTCGTGGACGCCGTACCCACGTGAGGTATTATCTTGTGTCTGCTTGCTATTGTGTTTTATCTGTGTTTCGTTTAAATACATAATTTTTGCAGCCATACAAAATTTGTAAAAGATGGATTAAAACACATGAGAATGAGATTCTATATCCAAGGTATAAGGAGACGTGGCACAGTAATTTTAGAAGTACAAGAAGTAAGTGGTTTTAATTATCACCTGTATATGTAACTAATAGACACATCTGATGCATTCGAATTAATTACAGAACGAATTTGGCAATTATCTGTATAGATATTTGTACGTACTAGTAGACGATATAATGCAAACTGTTATAAAAATAGAAGATAACAGGGACGAGTATAAGAGTCCTAGTACAGGGACAGACTTCGAACTAAGCTAGTACTTCAAATTTGCTGAAGTAGTGTATTTGATACATTGTATAAATGTGCTTGTAAGCGATCAGTTTATAGGAATAATCTTCACGAATAAAACCGTGGTACTCGAGGAAAGAATGTGCTGTATTCATTCACGCGTAACACGTCTCGAAATAAGTGACGAATAAGTATGCCCGATACGCACGTCCATATTCAATGATCAGAAAAGTTATGAGTAACAGTGGATTCTCTGTAAAGTGGTGTCCGTTAAATACAGTCGTGGTGTTCGAAAAATTCGCGGAACGAAAGTTGACTCGTGCGCCTTTATTTATGCTCTCATCCAAATCGAATGAGTCAATTTTATCTTAACGCCGTTTCCGGTGAAAACGCGACGACAGTTTTCGCTGATGTCTCACTTCTGAACCGTGGACCTCGTTTGATCATTTACAATTCATAAACGAAAGAACGATTAGTACGTTGTTATCGAACATTGGAATTGATCATAGAGATTCATGGAATTCCGACGGTGATGCACGGTTTGCAATCTGCCCACGTGAAAGATCAGCCGTGCATATCGTTATCGTTAGCAATCGCCTAAAAATTAACCGAAGGCTGCGGCGAGAGATTCTGTCGTTCGCATCATTCTCGATGCCAGCTGATTCTCTGACAGTCGCTCGTCCACTTGCGAGCAGGTCGAAACGAGGCGTCTTCTCTGTCGGTTCGCCAGTCGCGCTTAAAATGTGACGTGACACCATCACCGGCTAGATCAGTTCTTTAATTATTACTTGTCTTAACTCGTGCTTGATCCGTGCGGAAAATCGTTCTCGGAATCGTGCGTTTCTTTCGCGGCGTCGAATGGTTCAACTGTAACCAGATGCCCTTGATCAAATAATTATTGCCGCGAGTTATTCAGCTTTCGTTACGGCGGGAACGATCTGTCGCGAGTAAACGAAACCAATTCAGAGACACCGTCGAGACGGCCCAGTTTTTCGCGCGCTTGGAAGAAAAACATCGTGCGCACGTACATTCCACGGTGAATAGTTCGCGGCGGAACGAGCTTCGAAATGGAATGAAATGATATTAAGTATCGTCGAGCACGTGCGAATAATAAACGCGTACAGCGGGTAGACGAGGCGGTAAGGAAAGAGAGCCACGAGGCAATTTATCTCCGAGTCGTATCGGTTCAAAAGGTGATCGAACCAAGATGGGCAAGTGCTGTTCCTGTTTTACACGATTCAGGGCAGTCTTCAGACCGGAAACTGTAACGGATGGCCCGTCGAAACCAATATGCAACAGGCCAGAATGTCTACCTCGTCCACCTGCTACTCCCGCTTCAGGTAACACTGGATCCAACATTCCTTTAAGATTTCATATTCTACATATTCAGATCGTCCAGTTGGGTTGAACTGATTTTTCGTGTGCTCAACGATTACAGGGAGTCGTCCTGTATAATCGTCACGAATTTCTGCATTTATTATGCGTGATTTCAGTCAATAAGCGAGGATGCAGAACCTTCTGCATCGTCCACTTAAAAGTTCATTCGTTCAGCTGTTCTTTTGACTCGCCTCGAACACGACCGACGACCTCTAAGGTTAATTGGCTATTTGTTAAGTGATATTACGAGCCGATGCACTGGCACGTGTCAGAAAGAAATTCCAACGATCAAACGTTCGGGTCAACGGGTGGGTCGTTCAGGAGATAACATCGTCGAGAAACGGAAAGGTTGGACCGCTAGCCCAGATAGCACACGACGTCTTGAAGACGCCTATTTTACAGCTATTTTAGGTCTGAGGCGTCTTTAAGTCGTCTTCAAGGCGTCATGTGCTACATGGGAGTTGGATCGTGATTCTTCTTAAAGTCACGGGTTTAAATTTCACGAACCCACTTTTGCGTTTTACTAAGACGATATCATCGGTCAGGCATGCCCTCGGTACGATGCTTCTATTAATACGTGTTTACCGTACGTAATATTCGCGGAGTTACGATAATCCACGAAGAGTTTTCGGAAATCCTCCAGTGTTCGACACAGAACCACTGTTCTTCCGGTTGCGTGCAAACATAAGGGCTATTTTAAGAGAGCACGTGTGGCCGTCGTGGCGGACCGTACCCAAGTGCCTCCTTCGATACTCGATCCGCAACGAAACGTGTGTTTCCAATCATCGCGGTTTCACAAGGAGTTACACACGAGAGGCGTGTACCGAATTCTTCAGTTCTTCCTGCCCGATGATGTCACTCTATTATCGTATAAATATAACGTTCCGATGAATTTCTCGAAGGCATCGTTAGCATGTTTGTCCATGAGAGAGACCACACTGACGCGTGACAACCGTGGAAATGTAAATAAGACCTGTGTGCAACGTTCTCGCGGGAAAATCGTCTCCGCGTGGAAGAGACTTTGTTATCGACGACATACGGTAGCTCGATTGTCGTTCCAAGGTGAGGCGGTTCGGAGGAAATCGTCGAGGAAACATTTTCTCAGCGGTGTTTCACCGTTAATCCACGCGAATAACGCGTCGATGCCTCCGTTCGTTGCTCGGCCGATTGTACTTCATCAAGGAAAATAAACTCGCTCGGGCCTGGGGCCAAATTCGAAGCGTCCGTTTTCTTCCCGAACAATCGTATCGAATAGTCGTAAGTTTAATTATTTTTTCTTTTTGTCGAAACTATAACCGTTTAACCTCTTGCCATACGATTTTTTTTACGACTTCAACAGGCTCGGGATTAAGATTTTTTGTGGCGCAAGGCTATCAGATTTTCGGGGGCCTCTTGGTTGAAAGGGGGTTGTAACACCAGCACAATAAAATACATAAATCTTCAAAAATTCATATTTATTTTAAATAAGATTAAATAATATTTAATCATAAGGAAATTTAGAGTACAAAACGGGGTCCCCATAGAATCTGGGGCCCAGGACGATATCCCCCCTAGGCCCCCCTTGATCCGGCACTGGATTACTGTATTGTTAATATTTTCCCAGATACAAAAGGAATTCTAAAATTCAAATAATTTTAGAATTCCTTTTGTAAATTCAAATAATATACGTGTTTACGAAATTCAGTTTGTTATCGTTATCACGTGCGTAACTCGATATTGTAAGGCAAGAGGTTAATTTTGTTGGAAGCTGGGATCCACTCGTGAGACGATCATACCGACCATATTAAATTTACGTTGTCTCGGTAAAGAAATATAGTAATATACCTTTATAAATTTGACAATAACGTTGTACACATTTAACGGCCTCGAGGTATGCGACGTAGCCGTGAATGAAAGTGAACTTATGCAAGAGGCGCCCTGACCGCCGCGAAACATGACGTCACCCTCAATTACGCAAACCCGTATTATTATCCGAGCTTTTCCCGAAACGCGCGCGTCCAGTTGGAAAATCGAGACTAGAAAATTTCACGCGCAAAATTACCACCTAATCGTCATGATGGACATCGAATTACTATGAAATATGTAAACGGAATTCCGGCAGCGATCTGCAAACGTACGAAGCTAGAGACACCTTTTTAATACTAGACCTACCAGCACAGAATGTATACTAAGTTAACCTGTAAAATTTAGTAATGCACGTAATACATGATCCCAGACAGCATAAAACGCCTTGAAGATGGCTTAAAGGCGCTTCAGACCTAAAACAGCCGTAAAATAGGCGTCTTCAAGGCGTCACATACTATTTGGGATACAATCTAAAGCAGCACAATATCACATGAAATATCTAATAAATTAGAAGTCATCATAAATTCCGGAAACAGCGTTATTAAAATTCAAGTAATTGAAAAATAAGAAACCTGCAAACAGCGCCGGATCAATGGGTGGTCTAGGGGGGCTGCAGCCCCGGGCCCCAGGTTCCAGAAGGGCCCCGTTCTGAACCTTCCATTTCGTTATGATTAAATGTTATTTAATTTTATTTAAAAGAAATTTCAATTTTTATAATTATGTATTTTGTTGTGCTGTATTACAACTCCTCTCCCCCCACACTTTTCAAGCAAGTGGGCCACCGAAAATTTGATAGCCCTGGGACACAAAAAATCTTCATCCGAGCCTGCCTAATAACTGTCATTTTGACGGGTTTGGTAGATCTAGCGTTAACGGCGCGCGAACAGAGTATAATTTATCACGAGATAAGTATCATCGAAGTTCCGTGTTCCTTCAAAACACGCCGATTCGCGGGCTCGATACGCGACACAATACCACGCTCTGACACGGATGCTAATTTTATTGCGACTAGTGCCGTTGGCGTGACGCGTAAAAAAAGCGCAGCAGAAGACGCACACACTCAGGCGCGCTATTTATCGATGTGGCCCCACGGCACTTTGTAAAAGTTGTCGCCACAAGGCTTCGACCAAGAATCGGTCAGATTGCTAGATTCTTCTGGTCTTCATCGTTAAATCAACTGGGATCTATTCGAAACGGGGGGAAAAAAAAATGAATTTGTACGATATAAAATTTATCGGTACAGTAAATTACCGATGAGTGCTCGAAAGCTCCTCAGCGCCGAACATTAACACTCGAACTACCAGTATTGGATGTATGTTAAGTAAGTTAAATTGTGTAATATATTAATACGTGTAATATAGAATGCAATATAGCCTCCTAGATAGGACACAGATGGTTTACGACGGCTTAAAGACGTCTCAGACTTAAAATAGCCGTAAAATGGACATCTTCAAGGCGTCATGTGCTATCTAATGTGTATAAAAAAGTAGTGTATCTCTAGGATTTCAAGCTGAAATACATATTATTCAGAATTTCAAGCTCTACCATTGTGCTGAACATTTTTAAAAAGGCACCGTTACACCTGAACACCTATCCTTGTCAGGAGCCTTCCGACACTAATCGAGGGTTTACTGTATAAACTGGCGTCGTCATCGTCGATCGAACGAAGGAACGAACGTGACGAATGGGATCGTTTAAACGTCTCGTATAGATACACGAATATGAATTGTAAATGTTTGGCTTTGTACGCGTTAACATGAAAAGTAACGCGCCACGCGTCATCGGCCGTTACGGATAATCTGGATTCTAGAACACTTGACGGACGACGTGTGTATTTACGTGTAAAGTAGATACAACACGGGTGTGCGCATATGTATAGCTGGGGCTGGTTCGCATCGTTATTTTTAATCGAAAACAATATCTCTATAGATAGGCGCGCGTCTCGTGTCATAATTTTCTCGCTGTTCGCCGGCGTTGACTCACCCGAAATACTATCATCGATTTCGCGATAAACCGGTTGTGGGGGGTACTTTGTAATCGCGATCGTTCGACACGATATTTATTAACGTAATTAGCCGGCCGATTATCGTGTCCGTTGTTACGCGATCGATGAATATTTATTGCTAACGGAACCACAACGGGATATTATAATCGCGTTAATGGATTATTCTACAGGGTGGACCTCGAAATGTGATCAGTGGACTGCCGATTTTTATGCAAAATTACATTTTACAATATAGATAAACTTATAACTTCTTTCACGTCCATCTTTCAGCGGATACTGAGACGAATTCGGCAAGCACCGTAACGAATCATTTTTTTTTCTTCTAAACCAAAGAAACATTAAGAAAGTACAGGCTCGTCTCGATTATTGTCCGACCGCGGGAACCCGAGTTCCTTATAGGGAGAAATGCTTCCTGACGAGATCCACGCCCCCCTCCTCCAGTGGTGGGGATAACGTTTGGACAATCATCGTGTAGAACAAGCCAGACGATAATCGAGAGAACTCTGTATTATTTACTTTAATTAGAAACAACGTTCAAAATGGTGTCCATCAGCTTTAATACACTCGCGTAAAAAGGTTAAGAAACATCTAGGCGACGTCTCCGCCGATGGTTAATAATCAAGTATAATAACAGTAAAATAATCTAAACTGATCACGTGTCGTGGTCCACCCTGTATATCGGAGGGTAGTTTCACGTTGAATCTCACGAATCTGTAAAATCATTCGAAGATTCGAAATCGACGAATCTTCTCGTTTCATTTCGCCAAATGGCTGTAGATCTCGCGAATCGAGTCCGAGGAGAGCAGACGACATCCACTGACCGCCACATTGACTGGAAATGGGTGACGGTCAATGTGTTCGCGAGGCCTCGGTTCGCGTTCGCTCAGCGCAAGGCAAGTTCAGCCGCATTACCTACCCACAACAGGGGCAAATTGAACCGTAGATCAACTATTCATTTTGTCGTCGGTTTATATTTCATAAATGGACGCGACTCGTTCGCCTGTCCCGGCAAATTAAGTCGTAAGGACTTAACAAATCGGACCGCCAGTCAATTCGTCCGATTGATTCCTGCTACCAACAAGAAGTATTAAACAGAAGCAATTATCGTGTCCAAAAAAGGTCGTCTAATTATACCGATTCGACCGTAAACGACTGGTTTTCAACGAATCAACATATTATTTTCCCGCGATCTCGTTAAACGGCATTTTCGAGGTAAATACATTCTTCGTTAGTCATCCATACCAGAATGCCAGGCGGATAATTAAACCCACCTTTCTCGATCGAACGCTTTTCACGGAATCGGTTTTGTCCGCCTAACGATTACGTTCAACGATCAACGGGAATAAATTACGGAATAGATAATTGACAGAATGAAAAGTAGGCGACTCCTACTGGTTGGTGTGCCACGAAGTCATCGATGACACCATGTATGGCCGCGCTCGTCGATGCAGAAACGTCCTTGGGGGTTCTCCTAGAATCCAGCAACCCAACCGACGCGTCGGTACACCGTCGCGCGTCAGACGTCGCGTGTTCGGGCGGCGGTTTCCTTCCTCTTCGTCGTCGGGGAACGGTGTGGTCCCGTCATTCAGTGATTTCACGGAACTTCTCCCATTGCCAGCGAAAGACAACGTCGCGGCGTCCCGTCGATGGATTCAGTCTTTCGTTCGTTTTCGAGGGACGAGTTCGCCTTGCCGAATCCTCGAAGAATGTTTTATAGATTTTACGACCGTTACCGGCCCTTCAACGACCGACGGTTACGACCGTTTCCGTTCCGATTTTACTGTGAGTTTACGAACACGCGTACGAACGGTTGTTTTCGATTTCTTTCCATTTATATTCGACCAATCTTCGTTAAGTTCAATCCAGACGATACGTATTGTTAATCATTTTTTAGTAACATAATTCGCCAGCACAGACAGCGATATACGGGGTGTTTCAATTTGGTTTCAGTCTACTTGACCACCTCGAATAACGATTAACGTTTTAGTTAAATTATTCCCTACTAATTTAACTTTACAACATAAATTCATATTCAAATATTGTCATACACTTTATTACAATTTTGAGGCGCGGAACTTAGATTGACATCAAGGGGCATTTATGAGGTATTCGAGGCGATCGAGTTGGCTGAGACGATTAGAGAATTTTCTCGTCTTTGTTCGTAGGGGAGGATTTCAGTGTTCCCGTGTTGACGATCCAGGAGGTGGATCCCTGCATCCAGGAGAATGGGGAGAATCACAGGACGTCGAGATACGAGTCGATGACACGAGACGACGACAAGACCAGGCTGGTTGTCAGACGGGGACAGGAGTTCTACTTGCATCTGACGCTTTCCAGGGATTACGACCCGAATATCGACGGTATTTCGCTGGTGTTCACGGTGGACGGGGTCGAGAAACCGCAATACGGTCACGGTACCCTAGTCGCGGCCCCAGTTCTACATCCGGGTGAAGTTTCGGACGGATCCTGGCAAGCGAGCATCGACGCGATTCAATCGAATTTTCTTCGATTAAAGGCAAGTATCCACTGATTTTTCTTCCGATAAGTTGTCCACGATGATTCCTAGGGCGCATAATTTTTATAAACTACTTTTTATTTCGGAATTTGTAAAAGTTGAATATGATTCGCAAACGAATGAATTTTGAAGGTTTGCGAAAAGTTGAATTTGGAGTGCAAACACTGTAATACATAGTGGAAAGCAACAGTATCTAAGATCTTTATTGTGGCCTTTAAACAATTGACGAGATTAAATAATGATTTCGTGTTGCTCATAGAAGAAGAAATATCATTCTAAAAATTGGAATTTCCAGTTTCCTGCGATTAAAAGTAGCGAAATACTTTTTATTATCTTTTATTCGTTATTCGAAACTCTTTGTCTATATAATGAATTTGCCTATCTCTGCCGGCACATCTCGATGAGATCATAACCCGTTGTCCATATGTATTTTACAGATCGTTCCGGCTCCCGAGGCGATAATAGGAACATGGAAATTGGACATCGACACCAAGAACAAGAATCTAGACGGGGCTGTCAGTTACACGATGAAACACCCGTTCTACCTGATCTTCAATCCGTGGTGCAAAGGTAACGGTAACCCTCTTTTTGGTTCGGCCAACGAGCCGTCTGAATCACAGTTCGAGATCATTAATATATATTTCAGAGGACACGGTGTACCTGGAGGAGGATGATCAGCGCGAGGAATACGTGTTGGCCGAGGACGGTTTGATATGGCGTGGAAGTTACAATCGTCTGAGACCAACGGTATGGAAATACTCGCAGTTCGAGCGTGATATATTGGACTGCGCTCTCCATCTGATGATCCACGTCGGGAAAGTTCGAACATCCGGCAGAAGCGATCCCGTCGTTATATCCCGAATTCTGTCCGCGGCTGTGAGTACTTGATAGATATAGTACAGGGTGCAGCATTTCAGTTAACGCATGGAAATATCATAAGAACAAAGCATTTCATAAGAAAGTATTTTAGACAATAGTTGTCTGGTTTTGAGGGGGAAAAGAGAATAATTTATTTTTAATCCTGTGAATGTTTTGAAGGTCATTTGAAGGTCAACTTCGTTTTTTGAGATGGATACAAAAATTTTTTCAAATAAAAAAAAAAAAACGTTTCAGACAAAAATTAACGATCGGTTAAAAGAAATATAGAAGTATCCATTTAAAAAAACGAAGTGACCTTCAAATGACCTTCGAATCGTTCACCAGATTAAAAATAAAAAAGTATAAATAGTCAAGCAACTTTTGTCTAAAATATTTTCTTCTGAAATGCTCTGTTTTTATATTTTCATGAGTTAACGTAAATTCCGCATCCAGTATGTGCAGTAAATCCTCGATTAGTGTTCGACTTTACTGTACCATACGTATACATTTCATACTCGAGGCAAACACGCCCCGAAATAAACTGCTTGCGACGCAATCAAGGTGAACTCTCCGGACGACAATGGCGCGGTGATGGGCAATTGGTCCGACGATTTCGGGGGCGGTACGCCGCCGACTAAATGGCTGGGCTCGCAGAAGATTCTCCAACAGTATTACAAGACGAAAAAACCGGTGAAGTACGGACAATGCTGGGTGTTCTCGGGTGTTCTGGCCACGGTCTGCCGTACACTGGGACTTCCTTGCCGTGTTGTGACCAATTACGCGAGCGCGCACGACACCCAAAGCAGCTTGACGGTCGATTATTTCGTGGACGCCGAGGGGAAAGTGATGGAGGAGCTGAACAGCGACTCGATATGGCGAGTACCATATTCCAGATAGCACATGACGCCTTGGACACGCTGGGTTTTACGGCTGTTTTAGGTCTAAGGCGTCTTTAAGCCGTCTTCAAGGCGTCATTGGCCGCCATGCGCTATCTGGGATAGGACGATCGACATTTAACCCCTGGAACACTACTCTGGGGTTACCGACGACCCCGTGAAATTTGAATCTAGAGACATGAAAATAATCACTAGATTATTCAGCTTTTCTTTACTTTTTTTTTTTTTTCAACAGAAATCACTGATTGTTCGGAAATATTAAATAGTATTGTAAATATTAAGATTTTATTTTGGGGCGCCCGCGACCACACGGTGTTACTTACGCCGAAAAATGGAAGGGTGTCGTTCTAGGGTTAATCGAAAGTGTGGCGGGCTGAATAAGATTTTCTTTGTTTTTACTTCTATGGTTTGTTTCGCAGGAATTTTCACGTGTGGAACGAGGTTTGGATGAAACGATTGGATCTGTCCCCGGACTGTGCCGGTTGGCAGGCGATCGACGCCACCCCTCAAGAGTTGAGCGAAGACGCGTACCGTTGCGGCCCGGCTTCCGTCGCCGCCGTGAAAAACGGCGAGGTTCTTCGACCTTACGACAACGCTTTCCTGTTCGCGGAGGTGAACGCTGACAAGGTGTTCTGGCGATACAACGGGCCCACTCAACCGTTGAAATTGATTCGAAAGGACGTGTACGGGTGAGTTTTATTTTTGGGGGGTGGGGGTGGTGTCAAACTCGACTCGGAAAATGTTTCCGACAAGAATCATTCAGAATTTTATTCGAATGATACATAGGGTGTCCAAAAATTTGTAAGTCATTGAAATGGATGATTTGAAAAAACTTTTTCTTCAACGAAAAAGTTCTCCGGGGCTTTGTTAATATCTCGTTAACAAAGCCTTGGATAACATTTTTCCTAAGGAAAAACTTGTTTCAAATCACCCCACGAGTCACCCATTTCAGAGACCTACAGATCCCCCTCGATTATCGTCCGGCTTGTTCTACACGATTATTGTCCAGGCGTTATCCCCGTCAGTGGGGGGAGGCCGTGGTAGGGAGGACATCACTTATACGTACAAGTTTCCGGAAAGTAAGTTAATCCTCTTTCTAAGGAATCCGTCCGTTCAGTGGTTCCGACTAACCCTTTCTAGATGGTTTCTTCTTTTTTTTAAACGATCAACTCAATGATATTAATAATAGTATGTACAATAATACGCTCAAATATGGAACGAATAAATAGGGTGAGCATTTTTTCGAAAATGGGATATATAGTTCCCCATTAACCCTTTCCAATGGAATCACACGTATGTTCCAATAGGTTTCGATAGTGACAGATAAAATTCTACCTGGATATATTTGAACGATACAGTGTAAAACATTTAATACCGATTCCAATTCCACAACTACTGAACGCAGTTACAGTTCTAGTCCATTTTTTTCCATCTTTGCCACTGAACATCTAACGATGCATGGTTTCTTTCATGAATTTTACTTACAATGATAATTCCAAATAAGTCCAAAAGATATTTTAAGAGTCCATATTGGGGGTATTTTATTGTTCCAAACAATTTCGAAAGAGTTAACCGGTAGCCTTGTTTCCTTATTCCGCAGAGTCGGACGAAGAACGGGCTGCCATGCTGAAGGCGCTCCGTCAGAGCCAGTCGTTGTTCAGTCGTTACTATCTCAACGAAGAATTCAACGACATCATGTTCAACTTCGAGCTTCGCGACGATATCGTGATCGGGGAGCCGTTCAGGTACCACGTACTTTCCTTTCGTGGACACACCACTAATTCTTGTTTATTTCAATTACTTTTTACGCTCGAACGTTACTGGTACCAGGGTGATTCCTAATTACCATTTCAGACCCAGTTCCTGATCACTTAACAGTAACTATCACAAAATCAAATCCAAAAGATTCGTTGTTGCTCGAGTAAATCTATGTTTTATCTTTAACCCCTTGCTTTATACACTCCGCAGTGCTGGTAATTTTCGCGCTCTCTCAAAAATCCCAAATTGATATTTATTTTATTAAAAAAAAATCACAATTTATAAACATATTATGTCGAACTGAGATTACGTTATATAATTAGTTACCGCTATACCCTTCCGGCCCAGCATTAATTCATTTATATTACACTTGTTTTCCTGTCTGCTGCGAATGCCTCTAAAACGGACGAACAAAATAATAATAATTTATTTCCACGGGACAAAAGCCTATTGACTTACTATCCTTATTGAAATACACTGATTAATATCTATATTAAAATAGACTAATACCTGATATTTATGAATCAATATTTATGAACCTAAGTATAACTTTATTATCACCCTGGTACCAGTAATTTCTGTTTGTTTCTGAACGATGGAAATTTTATATTAACTGTTGCATGTCACAGTGTCGTGTTGCTGATTAAGAATCGAAGCAGCTATAACGAGTACCGTGTCTCCGTGATACTAAGGGTGGAAACGGTCCTGTACACGGGTCGCGTCGGCGACCCGGTGAAAAGATTGAATATCGATCGGCTGGTGAGACCGGGAGTCCTCGAGGAGGTGCGTATGGACGTGTCCTGGGACGAATACGGTCCCCGATTGTTGAATCAGTGCGCGTTCAACATCGCCTGTCTGGCCACCGTCAAGGACACAAATTTCGAGTACTTCGCCCAGGACGATTTTCGCGTCCGTAAGCCCGACATTAAAATCACGGTATGTATGTTACACAGTAAAAATTAAAGCTAAGTATATACAACCCAGATAATACATGACGCCTTGAAGACGCCTATTTTACGGCTATTTTAGGCCTAAGGCATCTTTAAGCCGTCTTAAAGGCGTCATTAGACGTCATACTTCTGTAGCATCCACATTTTGATTACACCCTGTGTAAAACCCAAAAATAACAGCTGTAGAACTAATATGATAGCTGATATCAAAACTGAAACTAAAATTGATATAACAATTCTAGGTTTTTCATAAAACTTATTCAGAATAAAGGTTCTTCGTAACCTTTATATAACAGTTTGAAACAGATCTTTTGGGAATCGTTCCAAGCCCTGCTTTTAACACTCACTTTTTCGTCCTCCTCTGTCAAACAGACTTAACAGACAGGATAAAAAATCGCGTTAAAATACATACAATCTGATTTCAGCTTGAGGACGTAGCGACGGTCGGCGAACAGTTGAACGCTAGGGCCAAGTTTAAGAATCCGTTGCCCATACCGTTGAAGAAATGCAGATTCCTGATCGAAGGGCCTGGCTTGGAGGAGCAATTGAAGTTGAAGTTGACGGAACCGGTCGAGGTTGACGCGGACGCGGAATGCTCGTTTTCGATGGTGCCGAAATTTGAGGGTCGTGCGACGATCGCCGCGAAATTTTACTCGAAAGAATTGGAGGACGTCGACGGTTTCGTGAACTTCATGGTGAGACCGAGGAAAGCTACCGCGAACGGCGAGTAAATCGCCCCCAGACTACATTTTGCGAACTGGCGAAGTATTACCAATGTACAGACTCCTCTCGATTATTGTCTGGCTTGTTCTACACGATTATTGTCCAGGCGTTATCCCCGCCATTGGGGAGGGCTTCGGGCAAAAAACGAATTTACGAGGGTCCGAAACATTTCTCCCTATACGATTATTGTCCTGGCGCGGACCCGAGTTCGGGACAATAATCGAGAGGAGACTGTATTAGAATTTTTCCGCAATCAAAGCGACGAACGAAACATCAGTCATCCAAATCTGCAAAACCAAACTGTCTCTAATGCCTGATATAAAGTTACGGCTACAAGTTTGATGCAAGATTTGTTATAAACAACATGCAGGTTTCGCCCTCAATTCGACATAGGTTATGTTACAAGACTTTCCGCCAATTTGCTTCGCCATTTCGTCACCTGGCGTTGCCTTCAAAACCCGAGTCAAATACGGAACCAGATGATTATGGTTTTTTAGGTAACTGTTGTCATTTGTTGCTGGCAATTTTCCCGAAACTTGTGCACAACCGATTATCAGGGCGTTCCTCGGAGGAGTATGCGTTCGTCGAACTTCCGTTAAGCGTTCAATATTTATTTTTCTTACGTTCTATCTGCGATAAAAAAATGATATCGCCCGATATCAACGATGTCCGTACGATAAAAGATGCGTTTTCATTTATCCCGAAAGAAAAAAAAAAAAAAAAAAAAAAAAAAAAAAATAGAGCAATATCGTGTCGGTCGGTGGTGTGAAAATATTTCCTCCATTCTTTCCGCGACGTCAGAGGCCGACGAACGGGTGGAGAACGCCCCCGAAACGATGAAATCCTGTCAGAAAACCGTTGCAGAAGCAACGGAACGAATTGGCATACCGGTTACGGGGAAGGGACGGGCTTCTGCGTTAAGCCAATAAAAAATTCAATCGGCAGAGAACTACCTGAACAGCCGTGGATAGCAAGCGCGAGACTACCGGCTACACGCGACAGGCAATATTAACGAGCGTGGCTGTCCAGGAGGGCCGAGTGTGTGTATAGTCGTTGTATTCCGAATAAGAGAAGGACGGTTAAAGAGCGAATCGAACGAGAGGAGAAGACAGACAGGTCGAGGAAGGGGGTGGGGGACACGACAGGGCACGAACGGGGGATGATGAGTCTTCGCGACGGTGGTATACGCAGGAAGCATGACACGAGCGATGCATCACCATCTAAGAAATTAATGCTGAAATACGGTGGAACGATGTGCGTTCGTGATCGCTGATCCCGATGAGGAGTTCGGTTCGGTGAAGATTTATCCCGTGGTTCTGGAGAGGAAATAAAATTAAAAAAAAATTGGCGTTCGTAGGAGGGTGTGATATATACAGGCGAAAAAAAGAAATATATATATATATATATATATATATACAATATGTGTATATATACAAATGTTCAGAAGAAGATTCTTTTCAAATTTCTTCACGGTCCGGCAGCGCGACCGATCGTATTCGTTTTACGACCTCGAGGAATGCGCGTTCATAGGCTCCGGAATCACTTACGGGCAAGGTAATATTTTTGTGGCGGTCTCTCTCGATTACGAGGAAAATAAAGGGGGTAGAGGGGCGACGTAACGATAAGGTGGTAGCAAGTGAAGACGAATACGAGGATCGTATAAGGGAGAAGAAAAATGGTAAAGGAAAGGTCAGAACCGAACGAAGGAGAGAGATTGAGGAAGGTGGACGAAGGAGGAAGGAGAAAGAGTGTGAGAGCGAGAAGGAGGAACGATATAGTAGATAGCAGTGAGATATGTCTAAATACATAACCGTGACACGTGATGGACGTGTTGCGGCCCCTGTCTACAGGGGTCTCGAAGAGGGCCCACGGGGCCCCCGGTACCCGATCTCCATTTGGATCCACGGGATTCTGGACTCTCTCGGCACCCTGCTACGCGCTATGCATCAACACCCAAGATCCATCCCATTATACCTCATCAAAATAACAAACACGCCCTCCCATGCTAAACCAACATTCTTTTGTTCCCATCGAATCCCAGGATCCATCAGAATCAACCGCGAACAGAGCGCGTCAGTGACGTATTGGGTTTGTTCTTTTCTTTTTTTTTTTTTGACGTGCAACGAACTGGCCATAGGGGGTCCTTGTGAGGGCGAAGAAGGCAAGAAGTCTCGAGGAGATATCGTGGAATATTGTTCAATGGTCGTGTTAGATCGAACTTCCTGAAAAAACTCCTTCGCGATGCTTATTTTTATTCTTCCTTTCGTTGATCCACTTTGGAGATTCTGTTGTTATCTCGAAGACTAGATGTGTATAGAATTTTATTTAATTATATGCACACCGTTTCGTGGTAAACCTTCCTCTTCTGTTCTAATTTTGTTCAGTCTCACATGAAAAACCAAAATTATACTTTAATGTACGTGGACAGGAAGAAACTATACGAGCAAAAAAATGTGTTTCATCCCTCGAACGGTCATCGTGGTTCGGAAACGCGCCTCTAGATGGCGGCACAATCCTCGAACGTCGGCAATGTTTCGTGTTTCGGGAAACCCCAGAGTTTGGCACATAATTCGATTGAAACAATGCATACGGATAGCGAAAAGCAGTATGTAATATGTAAGAGCGTCATACTGACCATTAAACAGTTAATCCGATTAAATCATAATTGCCTTTGTGTCTACACATTCGAGAAGAAGTATTGTCTCATCATCAAACTTGGAATTTCCCACGTGTAATGAATAAAAAATGGCGAAGTACTTCTTTGTTTAATCTTGTATCCGTTATTCGAAACTCTTCATCTACATAATAAATTTGCCCGTTTCTGCGAGAAACCTATATGTACGTTTATGCGTTAATGAGATTCTCCCAACGGTATTCTCGGTTTTCAAAAAATCATAACTCGTCGACACTCTCTAAATGGTGTGCAAAATCATTAACAGCGATTTATCACAGTGATCGCAAAATCACGATGACAGTCGTGATTTAACATCATTCACGACCGTGATCGTTTTTTTTTCCTTCAGTGATTTTGGTCACTGTGATCGTAATTCGTAATATTAAGAAATCACATCTTCGATATGATTATGAAAATGAATTACATTAATATTTGCATTTTTACAAATCAGTAGAAAACAAAGAAGCCGGGAACTAGGGAACCACTAGTGGAAATAAGAGCCTCCTACCACTTTGTAAATTTATTTCAGATACTGAAACAAATGTTAAATCGGTATAAATTTCAGTAACTCCCAAAACTAAATGGTAGCAGGCCCTTCGCCAACTTCACTTTTTTCCCCAGCAGGAAAAACCTATACAACCTATTGCACGCCGGAAGGGAGTTATTCCCCGTCGAAACCGTGCCCTTCAAAGTCGCCGTCGTGAAATTAGAATTCTTGTCGACGGAACGCGTAAATGTGCCGGCAACAAGGAATAGGTATTCCGTCCAATTTTCCACCATCCTCCGATACGATACACAACTACGTCTTACGCGTCGCGAACTCCAACGTCGGACCTTAATTTCACGATTCGAAGGGACGCCCGGAAGTGGCGGCGCAACCATCAGCCCCAGCCGCATGCACGTGTAAGTAATGTTTCCTGTCATCAGGAAAACTACCCGGCAGTAAAAGTCTCGAAATTGTTACTGGCTTCCCTTTTACGTTTACCGGCCGGCCCCTTTTATTCCTTGCGATTCCGTCAGCCAAAACAAGAGCCGACGAACCACTCCGATTCTTGTCCGATGGAACGATAATTAGAAAAAAGAAAAAAAAAGAAAAACGAAAATAGCACGCGGTGAGAGGAAGATAGAGGAGGATGGATCATCCTGACTTTGTGAACGGCGTGACATCCCTTGACAGCTTCGCCCGGTTTGCTTTTCTCTGTTTGCTCGAGGATTCTCTTCGCCGCACGGTGTGGTGTATAATACGTTCTATCCAAACAAGGGGTGAATGATGGGGGGGGGGGGGGGGGGATCGAGGCGTCCACTTCGGTGATCCATTTGGGCGCCCGTTGGACGCGCACAATGTTCCCGCAGAAAGAATGGGCCCGTTGCGATGGAAAATCGAGCTGGCCATCGTCTTTTGTAACGCGGCGTGTCACCTTCGTAACGCGTGTGCGTCAGGTCTATCTTTTCCAGTCCCTTTTGAATAGTACGACAGCCCGAGAAGACTTTGATTTTCTTTTTTTCCTCTTTCATCCTTGACAGAAGGCAGGGTCAATCAGTCTGTCTCTCTTCTCGAGCTCTCCGTTACATGCGTTGATCCGTGTCACGCGAATTCCGTATCTAATTTGCATCGGCGATCAATCGACTGTTTGCTCGGTGTCTCTCGGGCTAAACAGTTGCGACAACCCCTCTATCGGCTGTGTTGCGTGTGTTTGCGAAGGATTCTCGTCGCCACCGGATGTACAGGAGGCAGTCGGGGTCGAATACGACGAACAACACACATACACTGCCTTTCTCTGCGGCCTGTCGAGTGAAATGGGTGGGTATCCAGGGTGTCGTAGGAGGGATTTCCGAAGACGAAACTCGGCCTAGTGGTATAGTACGGGACGTGGATGATAAAAAAAAAGAGAAGAGGGGAGCGGGAAAAATGGCGCGGCTACCTTATTACGCATGCACCCCCCGTTCACGCAAAAAGGACTCTCGTGGCGGCCCCGATCGACGCGAGTGTGTAACATCTTGATGTTTTGTACACTGACGTGCAAACTCGGCTTCCGCTAGGGGAAACGGTTGACGTAGGAGAAGGGACTCCTACCATTTGGTATTTGGAATTACTGAAATTTATGCCAAATTAACATTCGATTTAACATTTATTTCGGTACCTGGAATAAATTTACCAAGTGGTAGAAGACTTTTCTTCTACGCCGCTTTTTCCTATAGTGGAAGCAGAGTTTGCTCGTCAGTGTAATACTCAATGTAACCTCCATTACTTTTAATGGAAATACGGAAACAGATAGGATGGAGTAATAAAATTGGTGGAACTTTGGGAATAGGCTAGCCAAAATTTCTACAGTCTTCATTTTCATAGATACTTTCTAAATATCACAAATTTCATTGCTCCATCGTATCTGTTTTCTGTATTTTCATTCAAAAAAATAGAGCTTACACTAAGTATTAATAT